CTATTAAAACAGAAATATGAACGAACAAAAATAATTCCTTTCAATTCTTAGTTGTTTTTTTTTAAGAGTTAAGTTAAGCAATAATTTTAAACACAAATACTATTCAATTTCATCACTGTGGTTGTTTTTCTTTTAAAAAAAATTCTTGCTTTTTATTCGTTCTCCAATCTTGTATTACTTTGTGTTCTTACCGGAATTTGGTCGTAGAGGTGACCCGTCTAGTAAGATCGGTGAGCCTCCTTTGCTTGATGTATTGGTGCTCCAAGATGGGGGAAGTACCTGCAAAAGAGACTCTGATGCCAAAGTTAGGGTTTGTATGAATAATAGTCTCATATATATAATGCATGTACCTTGAAGTGATCTAGGTCTGCCTTGGGCTTTGGGCTTGAGGTGAGATGTATCGTGATATAGTGTAATGTGATATAATATGATATAGTTGAAGGGCGAATCTGGTTTGGGGCGAGATCCTCGGAATTAGGTGTGATTTGCTTAAATACCGGGCTAACGTCGTCTAGCTCGCGCTTGAGGTTGTCTCGCTTTGCCAATCCGGGCTAGGAGCCCGGATTCGAGGTACGGATAGTACACTAGCCCCCCGAGCTCCAAAGACCGTAGGTCGAGGAGTTAAGACCGAGCTCATTGGAGGGAAGTGGCTTTTCACGTACGCTATTCTGAGGAGGTGCCATGTGTCACGGCTGTTCATTTCCCGGAGACGTGCAAGTGGCGCGTTAAGGGAGGTGACGGTTATGTGATGATGGTTTTGCAATAAATATGTCGTCAGGCGCGCTCTTCGGTCGACACGTGTCGTGTCAGTTTTGAATTTTGGGGGAAGGCCTTTTCCTTTCTTTTACTTGCGCCTCTTCGTCTCTTTTCGCCTTACTTCTTTGTTTCCCTTCTGACTTCTCGAGTACGATAGCTTTTCTTGCTTTCTTGCTCTTTTTTGCCTCTTTTCTCCTTCTTTCTCGCGCTTCCGTCGTCGTTTCCGGTAACCCCTTTTTTTGTTAGGGTTATTTTCTGAGGAGGAGTGCCAGGTACTTCTTTTTTATTGTTTCCTCTCTCTTTTTTTGGATCCTTTTTGGGTGTTCCTCTTTTTTAATGGCTGGTGGAAGTGGTGTTGGATCTTCTGCGCCTGCCGGGGGCAAAGCGCGTGGCAAGGCGGTGGCCGCTGGAAGGGTCACTGTTGAGAAGAAAGACCCGCCGCCGCCTAGGGGCCCGGAGCCAGGCGTCCCCGGTTACGACTGGGTAAAACGCGAGGTGGCTGAGGTTCAGAGCACTTTTCGATCTTTTCTTGAAGTAAATGCGTTTCGGAGTACGCATAGGGTTTGCGATTCTTCCATTTCCCATATGATTCGGCTTGAGCCTTGTCAGGCCGATGAGGGTGTGTATATGGGGAGGTCTACTGATCCCCCCCATTTCTACATGTATCAATGCTTTTTTCGGGATCTAGGTGTCTGTCTTCCCTTCACTCAGTTCGAGTGTGATTTTTTGAATTTTATCAACTCGGCTCCTTGCCAGCTGCATCCCAATAGTTGGGGTTTTTTGAGGGCTTTTCAGGTCCTGTGTACAGTTTTGGGGATAGAGGTGTCTCTTCACGTCTTTCTTCATTTTTACCAGTTGAAGATAGGCGCTCCGCCTTATGGCATTTTGTCTTTGAGTGGGAGTAGGGATGGGGTTTGTTTACTCCCTACTCCCAGTCGTATAAGAATTTCAAGCAGGAGTTTTTCCGGGTCGCCCTTGTGGGTGTTGACCCTTTGGAAGACGAGGTGTTCTACTTTGGCGGTCTACCGAGGTTTCCTTTTTATTGGCGCCCCAAACTGTCTAGGTTTCACGGTTTGGGTGACCTGAAGGTGACGGCCTCGGAGATGGCCGCCATTAAAAATCTTTCCGCGCTCCCCCGTCCGTTGGATTGCAAGCTCGTTCTATCGCTTGCAAATTCGCCTTATAGGGAGAGGGGCCTAGGGAGAGAGTATTGCGCGTTTTAATGGATTGCCAGGGCTTGTGTAGTTGCCTTTTACTGATGTGCTTCTGTTTCTTGTCTGTAGGCATTATGAGGAAGAACTTGTGGCGTGAGCTTAAGCACCGCTACAATGTTGCTGAGCTCGAGGTTCCCGAGCTCCCGGAGGAGGATGCCGCCCCCCTGAAGACACACCGAAAAAGGAAAAGGGGGGAGAGAGAGGTCGGGGGGACCTCCGCCCCTCGTAGTGCCGAGGAGGTGACCTCCAAGGCCGCTGATGTTGATACGGTGGACCTTACTGAGAGTCTGCCAGCCAAAGAGGTTCCCTCAGTGGTTGCTGAGGAAATGGCTCAGACTGTTGAGCCTGCTGTGTCGGTCACCGAGGTGAGTGTCTCGTTTTGTATGCGCCTTTTGTTTTGACTTGGTTTGGTTTATTGAGGCGGAATGGGTTCTGTTGCAGGTCGGGGTGACTGCTGCCGAGGTAGGTGACCGGGCTGCTGAGCAAGTTGCTCGAGTTGCCGAGGTGGTGAGTATCTTGTTTCCTTTCTTTTTCGATTGTCTTCTATTACACTTTCTGGTCGTTTGACCTGGGGCCATTTTTCGCAGGCAGGAAATGCCGCCGAGGTGGCGACGCAGGCTGCTGGGCTGGTCGCCCAAGCTGCTGAGGAGGGGGTTCCAGCCACCGAGCATGTTGTTCATGCTGTTGAGGTAAGTAGTGTTTGTCTATTCGTTTCTGTGGTTCTCCGTATGTCGTCTTGTTTGTTTTTGACATGGGACTGGTCTTCGCAGGCGGGGTCAGGGGTCCCTACTTTTGACTGTCAGGATGTCGAGCAGGGGACGTCGGTCTCTACTGCAGCTTCGGCGCCGCCGGCGGGTTCGTAGTAGGGGCCTTCCCGGACCCAGTATCTAGCTCACCGCTTCGGGAAGGGTTTGGACAAGGTGCGGCTGGACCACGTGAGTGCTTCCGTCGACATGAACTCGCTGTGGAGCGCGGGGGTGACTGTTGAGAAGTTCTTCCCTCAGGCCTCGTTGAGCTCCGACGACCAAGGATTGATAGACGAGGTCGGTCCTGAAGACAGTTTTGATGCCGCCCAGGTCATGCTGCAGAGGGTTATGGGCATAGTGGGCCATTGGAAGCCGAAGTGGAGCCAGCAGCGGGAGGACCTGGCTAAGCAGCAAAAGGATCTGGCCAAGTTGAGGGGCCGACTTCGGCCCTGGAAGGAGGCGAACAGGATCCTGAGGAAGGAGAATAAAGTTCTCAGTGCCTCCGTCGGCGAGGCGAAGCGGCGGGAAGCTGAGCTCCGGTCTGTGCGTGGCGATCTTGACAGGGTACAGAAGTCTCTAGAGATCGCTTTGCGGTCTAATGAGACTCACGCTACCCAGGTGGGGGTGCTGCAGCAGCTCGCCGCCTTCTCTCGAGGCCGCGTCCGTTCCTTGGAGGACGAGGTGACGTCCTCTCGTGGTCAGGTGTGGGCTCTGGAGGATGTTGTGGCCTCTCTTAAGGGAGAATTGGCGGCGACGGCTGAAGAGCGCCTCCGCAGCGAGGTCATTCTTGGTGGCCGTGAGGACGAAATTACCACCTTGAAGGCGGAGCTTGCGGAGCTGGCGGCGGGGAAGGCGTCCACGGACAAGAGGCTCGCGGAGGTCGAACGCTCCATTGTGGTCGAGCCCAAGAGAGGCTTCCAAAAGGCTGCTCGTCAGGCTCGGCTTCTTGCTCCCGGATTCGACTTTTCTTCCATGCACGTGGAGAAAGTCATCCGTTTTGGGAGGTTAGTCAAGGAGGACGATGCCGACGACAGTTCTAGCGGGGGTGCTTCAGCCTAGGCCGCCTTTGTAATAGCTTGGTTTATTTTTCTTTGTCTTGAATTAATGTACTGAATTTTGAGAACTTTGTTTGTATATATATATATTTTGCTCTATCTTGTCCGTATTTGCGCTCAATTTTGGCTGTTCGCGCTGTTTGAGGCACATGTTTGTTATATGGTTTTGTATATGGTGATACTTCTACCTTGAGTTGGTGAAGTCGAGGTTCGTATCCGACCTTAGGCGTTGGTGGGATTCGGGTTTGATCTTAGGTTTGAGCAAAATGGTTTAGCTAAGGTTCGAACTCGACTTTTAAGTGGGGGCATCGAGGTTCATACTCGACCTCGGTTTTGAATAAAACGAAGTTTTGGTGAGGTTCGTATTCGACCTCGGATCCGGATGCTGTGGCTCGTGCTCGGCCTCATATGTTAAGGGAGGTTCGGGCTCGACTGCGGACTTTTGTTTGGGTGAGCGTTTCTGTGGAGATTCGATGACCTTAATTTATTAGCGCCGAGGTTTTGAACCGACCTCAAACCGGAATGTAGTAAGTTGGATGGGTGGTCCGTATCCGCCCTTAAGTTTAGGGTCATGTATGTTTTGTTACGGTTCGAACTCGACCTTAGAGTAAGTTATTAAGGTTCGAACTCGACCCTTGGCAAG